GCTCCTACTGCATATTGTTGGGGGGAAATGCTCAACTCAGAGTGCACTCAAAAGGGAATGAGAAGGAACTGCAACTGGAAACAATGAATCAGAGACAAATCTTTCTCTAATGAAGTTTTATTGTAAAAGGATCAGAGTTATATATGGGCCAGTTACAATTAGATGTGAGATCAAGAAAGGATTTTAGTTTTTGTGGGGTTTTTTTTTGCTTTGGTTTCTAAGATGAGAGAAACACAGGCAGGCCCAGATTACAAACATTAAGTACAATTTGTTCTAAATCAGAGCAGTTATGTATAGTTATGTAGCGACAATTAGTCAAATGTTTTAGTATATAGTGCACCTTTCTATGCATAAAAAAATTAAAGAAACACTTCCAAACACACTAGCACATCTTTAACATAGGTGTTGTTGTTGTCAAGTGCTATGAATCGGTGCCGACCCATAGCGACCCTGTGTAGGGTTTCAAAGAGCAGCTGGTGAGCTAAAACCACTGACCTTGCAGTTCAAACAACTGCGGCCTGTTGCATTAACCCACAGCGCCACACCAGGACTCCTTTTTTACATAATGTTGTTGTTAAGTACTGCTGTGTCAGTTCAAACCCATAGAAACCCTGTATAGGGTTTCCAAGGAGCCACTGGTGAGCTTGAACCGCCAACCTTGCGGTTCAAATGGCTTTGCAGTCTGACGCACTAACCCACAATGCCGCACCAGGACATAATAGTATAGTAATAATAATGAATGTCATAAAGTAGAATCTGTCTGCTATGAGGAACCATTGTATGCATCTCAGACTTTGAATATAATGGGGTTCACAAGGATAGTTTCATTGCGATGGGATGTAGAGACTACCTCTACATTCATAACCCAGAGACTGCCTATACAGACTATTTGTATGCTGCTGGGAATGATTCAATAAGAGGAATTAAATTATGATGTACAAGAAAGAAGGGACAAATATAAGAAAATGGAAATATCTGTGGTTGTTGTTAATTGCCATTAAGTTGACTGACTCAAGGCAACCTTATGTATAACATAAAGTTTTCATTGGTTAATTTTCAGAATTAGGTCACCAGGCTTTTTTTCCTAGACTGCCTTAATCTGAAACGCCACTGAAACTGCCCACCATGGTTTGACCCTGTTTGTATTTGAAATACTAGTGGCATAGCCTCAACATCATAACAAACTGTAAGCTACCACAGTACCACAAATTGACAAACAACTGGTGGTATATATAAAGTAATAAAATATAAAGATATATAACATACAGAACATAAAGTACTACAATACAAATATTAAAATCCCTACATGCATCATCAACCAAAGATCTAAAGAGAAAATGTATGCTTGTTTATAGGTTGGAAAAGCAGACATGATGTTCCCAAACTAGTGGCTGAATTCCTTGAAAACGAAATTTGACCTGGATCAATTGATAACCCACGTTTTACCTTTCGAAAAAAAAATCAATGAAGGATTTGAATTGCCTAATTCAGGGCAAGGGTGTCTATTTTTGTTGTGTTTGTTGTTGTTTTATGATTTTATGTTCTCCACACTTTACTTTTTAAATTTAGTACTTATAAATTTGCCTATTTCCTTCATACTTCATTTCTGATTATTTAATCTAGCAGCTTTATATAGGCAATTATTTCTTTTTCATAAATTTAGTATGCCATTGCTTTATTTTAATCAATTTGTAAACTCCTTTCTACATTGTCATCTTGGATTTTTTTTTTTTTTTTTTTGCCACAAAAGTGCCAGCTTGATCAAGAAATGCCACAAAATTTCGTTACTTCACAGTTGTCAAAGTATTTTTCAGTTGTTCTTTCATTTGATTCTTGTTAAGTCAGATATTATTGCCATTTTCAATTAAGAAAGCAGTAAATAACTTCCTGAGTCCTCATCGGGTCAGCAGTAGAATGCAAATTTAATGCAAAGTCTATGCCAGCTCCACCACACCCCAGATGCCTCTGACAATGGTTTAGCAATTTCTGAGTACCTCTGGGTGTTCTTTTTGTTGTTGTTGTTAATGTTTTATTGTGATAGTTTTTTTTTTTTAAATGTTTTATGTGATAGTTTACATGGGAGAACATTGGTTTTACATTCATCCTATCGTGTATCATTTCATTCACATTGTTACAATCCCTATATGCATCATCAACCAACAAAAGGGTATACCCTGAAAGCCTGCCCCCAGTCGTCAGCACACAGCCTGTCTCCCTCCCTGTGTCCAAAGTCCCCAGCTACTCCATCGCTCTACGTCATTGTCTCTGACTCCATCTCAGGCATCACTGCTTCTCTGGGTAGGGTCCCACTCTCCACTCTTCTCCCTCTGGATGTTCTTGTACTACTCTTATTGCTTTGGAAAGTTGGGCAAGGATATAAGTGAAGAATAAAGAATTCTCACACATTTCAACTGCAACAGCTGCTTCATGGATATCTGGGACAGCAAGCAAAAAGCCTAGCTGCAAGATAAAATGGGATTTCTTCCATTTTTGTTGTTGATTTTAAGTGCTGTTGAGTCAATTCTGACTCATAATGACCCCATATAAGGTTTCTGAGGAGCAGCTGGTGGGCTTGAACCATTGATCTTGCAGATAGCAGTCTAATGCTTATCCTACGGTAATTATAAATTTCACCATGGATTTAATTTCATTAGGGAAAGTAACTAAGTAACTGCAATCTTTGTTTTTGTTGCTAGCTGCCTGTCTCATAATGACCCCATGTACAATGGAAGGAAATGCTACCTGGTCCTGCACTATCCCAATGATGAGTTTGGGATCAGACAGTTATGATCCATGGGGTTTTTACTGACTGGTTTTCAGAAATAGATCACCAGTCCTTTCTTGCTACTCTATCTTAATCAGAAAACTTCATGAAACTTGTGCAGCATCATAGCAACATGCAAGCTTCCACCAACAGGTGGTGAAGCTCATTGGGTAGTAATTGAACCTGGTCTCCCGTATAGAAGACAAGAATTCTACCATTAAACCATTACTGCGTCATGTGCATTAACCTATAAATTCCAAACCCACTCTCATTGAGTCAGTTCTGATTCATACCATGCCAGGTTTCCTAGACTGTAAATCTTTATGGGAGCACACAATATCATTTTTTCTTTCTTAGAGTGGCAGGTGGGTTTGAACCATTGACCTTGGAGTTAGCAACCCAATGCCTAACCCACAGTGCTACCAGGGTTCCTTGTACATTAATCTGCTACTGTTTTTAATGCTGTAGAGTCAGTTCCAATTCATAGCGATGCTGTATAGCATTTCCAAGGAATGGCTGATGACTTTGAACCACCAACCTTGTGGTTCAAAGCACCTTGTGGGTCTGGTGCTTTATCCCACAGTGCCACACCAGAACTCTGTACATTAATCTACAGGTCCCAATTTTGAATACTATTTCCTCTGACTGCTTTTTTCAGTGATAAGTCTAGACTTTGCATGTTGATCTAGACTACAGAACCATTGTATATGTTATTAAGAAAGAGCCTTTGAGTTGGTTCTGATAGGGTTTCCAAAGAGGGGCTGGTGGATTTGAACTGCTGACCTTACAGTTCAAACTGACTTTGTGATCCAGTGCTTATCCTACAGTGCTACATCAGGACTATTTAAATTATTTTAGGCAAGGAAATAATGGACTAAGCTGTAAGAACCACCCAATACTCCTTGTCTCAGTTAAGCAAAAGTAGTAGCTTAATATGACCAATTTGGAAAAGAGTTACTAGTTGTTTGCCAAAGAAACAGAAATTCTGCTCTAATGGGTTTTGCTTCAAATATTCCCTTAGAGCATTGACTTCCAATCTGATCTCCTCAATTTTCATCTATTTCTCATATAGCTTCATTTGAATGTTCTGCTTGCAATAACTTCATCCATAGTAATTTTTCCACCAGTACATATTATCTCAACAAATTATCATGTATTTAACTTTCTTGTTAGCCCTCACATACCACATACAGATTGTTGCTAAACCCTGATGATACACCTTTCAATTTCTTCTCTAGCGTTCCTTTCTCTCATTGCACATAATCGCTGTCTCAGTTCAATCTTTAATCTTCTCTCACCTGGATATGTTAGTACAATAGCTTGCTGGCAGATTTCCTGCTGATTCTGCATATTACCCTGCAAAGAAGTCTTTCTCTCTGCTGTTAAAACTCAAGTTGCCCCAGAAATCAATGTTTTAGCATGGCTTTAAAATGTTTACTTTTAGCCTGCGGTATATATATTTTTTTCTTTTATTTAATTTATTTTTTACATTTTTATTGTGAATTATGAGATAGTTTATATTCATCTTATCTTACTTCATTTCATTATAATGATTACAGTCCCCTGCATGCATAATCAAACAACTAACCCCACAAGCCTGACCGCCCCCCGCCCCGCCCCCCAGCCTTCAATACACAGCCTTTCTCTCTCCCTGAGTCTAGAGTCCCAGACTGCTCCATCTCTCCATGTCATCGTCCTGCCTCCATCTCTGGTATCACCCCTTCTCTGGATAGGGTCCTGCTATCTGCTCTTCTCCCTTGATGGTCCCAGGGACCTCTGCTCCTGAACTGCAAAATTAACCATTCCCCTCCTTTTGTTATAAAACATCTACCTTTAACTTTCCAACACTCACAGTCAGTCCTGATAGCAATCATTCACTATTGAATCACGAGAGTCTTATCCCCATCTCCTTTCATCAGCCCGGTCCAGAAAGGTTGGAAACCACTCAGTGGAGATTCTACCTTTCCCCGTACCCTCTGGAACTAGGTTTCCTACTGAAATCTTGTAAGTCAGCTACTTCTTGCCTTTGTAGCCACCCCATTTTGGGTAGCCAATGTCTGAGTTGCTCAATCTTGTCAACCCTGTATACCAAGGGGGTCAGAATGATCCTCTCTGTAAAGATTTGTTCCCTTCTTTGACCTACTACACCACAAGCATAGGTCAAGCTCATCAAATTGTAGCAGATTACTCTTTTTTTCCTCTTCTTTCTTCTGCTAGTCGAGTTCTGATCATCCAGCCATTGAAGCCAGGTCAAGTGGGTACTATCTGCAAGTATGGGTATTCTTGTGCATCTCCCTTCACTTCATATTAGCTAGATGCTTCACACTCCGCTCTAGTCCTCTCCTCTGTGTCCATGTCTCTGTCCCAGGGCCCAGGAGTCCTCAGGTCTTGTCATACTGCTGGCCAATCAGGTCTTAATTCAGGTACATAGGAAGTCTATTGAATGTGGTTGGACTTAGCTCACAAGTTCATTGCTGTTTTGACTCTACTTCCCCTTATCGGTGACCAATGTGGTCAGCAGTAAGATCATATGCCTGCTCGTGTATTCTGCTTGACTTTTGGTCTTAGAGGGGGGTTTGCCTTGAGGGAAACTTGCCTCGATGGCACCTGGGAGAACAACTTGCTTGTTCTTGTAGTAGTCAATCAGACAGCCGTCATTGCTTTTTATTTTTCCTGCTGATCTTTCAAGAAGTATCTTTTGTTCTTCTAGCCACTCCAGGCTGGTCTGCTTGTGCTTTCAAGTAAATTTCCCTCCTCAGAAGATTCTGCATGGGGATCAGGATTCCACCTATGGTCTTATGCAATGCAAAGGCTCTGTAGGAAGCCTCCTTCACTGGGCAAGTTGTAGCTCCATTTTAGGTATTCCAATCAGTTATAGGCTGAAGAATGACTTACAAGCTTTCTATGGTGATGTTTCTGGCTAGTCCTTTCTTTCACCCTCAAGTGTATATTTTACAATAGTAGGTAAGGGAAACCAAGATTCAAAAGAGAGCCAAGCATCTTAACATTATTTTCCCACTTTTACTCATTCAAACCATGCCTCAATCCTTTTATTCCAGAGCCCTGATGTTCCAAGGTTGTGCTTACATTGTTATTTACCTCTGTCCCATCTAGCCCAAGCAAACTTGCCTAACTGTTCTCCCATCTGCTTTGTTCTTCCTTTTCCCACCACCCCCATTACCCAAACTATCCGTGTCTATTCCCTACCCTGTGCATCACCTTCACCTCTCCCTGTCAACCCACCCCATACATCCCAGTAACCAGCATATATTTTTTAATTTTTCCCCTTTTAGTGTGGGTACTTATTCTTAATCTTTTATAGTAATGGTCCTATGCAGTATTTCTCCTTTTGTTACTGCCTAATTTCACTCAGCATATTGTCCTCAAGGTTCATCCATATTGTACGGTGGCTTGCAGCTTCCTTATTATTCTTCAAGGTAGCGTGGTATTCCATTATGTGTACGTACCAAAGTTTGTTTATCCATTCTTACAATGATAGGCACTTAGGCTGTCTCCATCTTTTTGTTATTGTAAATAGTGCTGCTATGAACATTGGTGTGAATGTATCTACTCACATTATGGCTCATATTTCTTTTGGATAAACACAAAGTAGAGGAATTGCTAGATCATAAGGTATCTCTATTTCCAACCTTCTGAGGAAGCACCATATTGTTTTCCAGAGTGGTTGGACCATTTTGCAATCCCACCAGCAATGTAGGAGGGTCCCAGTCTTTCCGCATCCTCACCAGCATTTATTGGCCTCTACTTTTTTGATCTTTGCTGGTGTGAGATGATATCTCATTGTTGTTTTGATTTGCATCTCTCTAATGGCTAGTGATCATGAACATTTCTTCATATGATTGTTGGCTGCCCAAATCTCCTCCTTGTTGAAGTGTCTGTTCATGTCCTGTGCCCATTTTTTAATTGGGTTATTTGTCCTTTTCTTATAGAGGTGTTGTAGGTTCCTATATATTTTAGAAATGAGTCCCTTGTTTGATGTGTCATTGCAAAATAAATTTTTTCCCATTCTGTGGGTTCCATTTTTACTCTTTTGGTGAACTTTTTTGATTCACATAAGTTTTTTTGTTGTTGTTGTTATTGTTTGTTTGGTTTTTTTTAAGTTTTTATTGTGAATTATGTGATAGTTTACTAGGGAGAACATTAGTTTTACATTCAAATTATTGTATATTGTTTCATTGCCACGATTACAATCCCCTCCATGTATCATCAAACAACTAAAGAGAATACCCCGCAAGCCTACTCCTTGGTAGTCAGCTCACGGCCCCTCTCCCTCTCTGGGTCTAGAGTCCCCAGTCACTCCATCTTTCCATTTCATCATTGCTGCCTCCATCTTTGGTTTCACTGTTTCTCTGGGTAAGGTCCTGCACTCTGCTCTTCTCCCTTGATGGTCCCTGGTCCCTCCACTCCAGGACTGCAAAGTCAACCATTCTCTTCCTTTTGCTACAAATCACTGATATTTACATTTCCAACCCTCACAGCCAGTCCTGATAGCAATTATTCACTATTGTACCACAAGAGTCCTAACCCCATCTTCTTTCATCAGCCCTACCCAGATAGATTGGATACTGCTCAGTGGAGAGTCTACCTTCCTCCTCACCCACTGGATCTAAGCTCCCTCTTGAAAGTTTGAAACTCAGTCATTTTCTTGCTTTAGTAGCCCCCATTTTGGTTAGCCAATATCTAAGTTGCCCATCCCTGTCTACCCTGTGAACCGAGGGGATGGGAATGATCCTCGCTGTAAAGATTTGTTCCCTCTTTTGAGCTACTGCATCCATAAGTGTAGGTCAAGTTCATCAGATTGTATCAGATTACTCTTTTTTTTTTTCTCTCCCTTTTCTGTCTTCTACTAGTTGAGTTCTGATCATCAAGCCATTGAAGTCAGGTTAAGTGGGTATTATCTGCAAGTGTGGATGTTCTTGTTCATATCCCTTCACTTCTTATAAGCTGGCCACTTCACTCTCTACTCTAGTCCTCTGTGGCTATGTCACTGTGTCTGGGCCCAGGAGTCCTCAGGTCTTGCCATACTGCTGGCCAACCAGCTCTCCACCCTGGTTCACAGGAGTCTATTGAATGTGGTCAGATTATCTCACAGCTTCATTGTTGTTTTTACCCTCACTTTCCCTTATCAGTGACCAACGTAGTCATCAGTCAGACCACATGCCTGCTCGTGTATTCCCCTTGAATCTTAGTCTTGGAACAGGGTTTGCCCTGAGGAGACCCAACCACATGACTTGATGTCTCCTTGGCTAGCAACTTGCTTGTTCTTGTAGTAGTCAGTCGGACTGCTGTTATTGTTTTTTTATTTTTCCTGTTGGTTTTTCTTTCAAGAAGTATCTTCTGTTCTTCTAGCTGCTCTAGGCTGGTTGGTTTGTCCTTTACAGTAAAGATTTCCCACCTCAGAAGATTCTGGATGGGGTTCAGTATTCCACCT